CCCAAATTCCCAGGTGATTTCTGCTTCTCAAAGCTTAAAACCAGTTGATCTGTCTTTAGCTTATGCTCTTCGTATTTCAAGTTATCTCTCAATGCATCTAAATGTAGCGATGTCACTTTCTCGCTAGCCAAAAGAGAACGGTTACATTCTTTTGAAAGGAATCGTTTTGCACTCTATGTTGACAACCAGCCTGTTCCCCCAGTAAATTCTCTGCAATACCTCGGTGGTATTATCTGCCAAGATCTCACCTGGACTTCACATTTAAATTCTACGTTCAGTAAGATTCGACGATTGTGCTTCTTTATTTAACGCTTGCGTTCTTCAAAAGTTGTACTGTATTTAATCACCTGATCTGTATATCCCTGTGGTGTTACTCATATTCTCACTGCTCCCCAGTTTTATTTGCCGGTTTTAAAGTCAAAGATTACAAAATTATACCCCGGTATATTTAAATTATTTCTAGCGCAAGTTTTATTCCCTATTGGCACCAGGTTAACTTTATCACCGACAAAAATTTTACCTCTTGCGTAAACTTCTGCATTAATATTCTATCAGACATCACTCACCCATTACACACAGAACTTGAACAATGCGTATCCATTTATCTAACTAGATTTTGTTATAAACTTGTGTATGCTTGTACCACTGCCTACCTTCTGTCCCATATCTTTCGAGATTTCTGCCAAAAAAAGGCATCCGTTAGAGAAAACTTTTCAATTTCCTATGCAACTGACATCCATTTTTAAACTTTTACGCCACATTCCACCTAAATTTAAGACGCTGTATTTTACTTTTTCTCTGTGTGATCGTATTCGATGATAAATCAGTATTTAGGACTGAGGGCAGGGGACAGGGTGCCCGTGTAAGCCCGATCAACACTGGGTCGAAGTTCCGATCACAAGTGTTCGGTCCTCCATAGCCCCTTCAGGTGCTCATCCAGAAGCCGTTTGAAAGCAGCGTCTGTCTTCTCTTCCACCACAATCGCTGGGAGGGAATTCCAGAGTGTTGTTGACCTACGCGAGAGTCGGTAGACTAACGGAAGACCAACTAACTGAAGTTTCCGCAACGTGAGAGAGTGCTCCCGCGTTTGGTGCTCTGTCCATAAAGGGAAGTACTGTTGTAGCTCCGGGCCCATATCACCTCTCAAGATCTTCCTCAGGCATATGAGATCTCCCCTAAGGCGTTGATACGCAATTGGGAACAGACCAGTAGCCTGTAGACGACCTTCATAGCTGGTCCCGCGTATTCCAACAATGAGTCTAGTGGCAGCACGTTGTACACGCTCCAATTTAGCCAGTTCACCGGCCGTGCAGGGGTATGTCGCTACACCACTATACTCAAGTCTTGGTCTGACATGGGAAGCGTACAGCAGTCTGAAAGCGTCCATCGTGAGCTGGTTGAAAGACTGCCGAATAGACCCCAGAATGCTCCATGCGCTAGCACAGACCCGATCGGTATCCGCCCACTGAGCGAGGTTGGTCAAATCCGCTTGTAGAATCTCTTGAGAAGATTCTGTAATGTGGATTGCACACTGGTAATCCGTCCTGACGATCGAGTGACGCGCGAATCCTGAAGTCAACAGAAGACGCGATTCTCTTGAAATGCGGTACTCGAATCGTGAGG